CTTTAGAAAAGTAGCAAGATTTTTTAAAAATTTACTGTAATAACCTTTAATCAATAAGAGTCTGAGAGATCTGAAAAACATCTCCTCTCTGTGGTGTGTTCTAACCAACTACCAACTAAAACAGGCTAAAATGCTTGTTTATAACTAGGTGCCATAAAGAAGCCCCCAAGCCACCAGTTTGGAACCCCTTCACTTCAGCATATATGAAGAGGAGGTACCTGGGAACAATAATATTGCTGCAGATTTCTGCATGCAGATGTGATCACTTCAAAGACCTGATGCACTATTTGCTATGTTGTCCATTTTATAAGACTGCCTGGTAGAAAAATATGTCTTCCATCTACATAAAACATTGCAGGATATTGGGGAATTTCTATAATAAACAGTTTTAAATTCCTTATTTGGCAACACCCTTTTTTTTTTAACCTGCTAAGGAAGTATTTACTTTTTACAGGGCTCCTAAGCTTTAAATGGCTCCAAAGTTCCATGTTTTTTGTATAATGCCTATTCAGGCACATTTTCTTTCTCCCAGCTATGAAATTCAGCAACATAACCTGAATCAAAGCTGCCATCTGAGGTACAGAGCTCCAGATGGCATAGCAGTTCTTCCATTTTTCTCAAGAAAAAAAAAAAAAAAAGCAGGAGGGCTCTTGTTTGAATGCTTCTAGCCAAAGGCACCTCTCAAGCCTTAGAGGCTAGAAACCTCAGGAAACAAGAGCCACATGGATGTCTGGAATGATCTTTATTCTAGTAAGGCAATGGAATAGAGTCTTGAAACCCTGTCAAAGCAGTTCTCCAGATCTACTTATACCTAGCAGAGCTATTCTGAGTCTCTTTCTCACATTTCCCCCCTCCCCTGAACTAAGGAATCTTCTGTGTAATGGCCTTCTCCCTCCTCTGTGTTCCCAAGGTCTGTTAGACATTCCATTGTTTCATAAACAATAAAGTCTAAGAAAAGCATTATGTCTTAATTTTCCTCAGTGTATAAACTAGGGTGCTTTTAGATGCCAGGCTCCTTTTTGGGCAGCTCTTCTATCTTCCACTCCTCAATGGAATTTCTGTGGTAAAGGAAAAGAATGGAAGATAGCATGGAAAAACATCAGAGGTTTAGAAATGGGAAGTAGTGGTCCTTTCAACAATTTATTCCTGTAAATTTATGTGGATAAGGCTGGGGGATTCAGCCTCATCTGAAAGCATCTGTAGCAGGAGAACAAAACAGTGTCTTCCTCTCAACAACAGACTGATAAGTGCCCAGCTTATGGAGCTGTGAACTGTGATGGCTCCAAATTTCTCTCTGTCTTCCCACACTCAAGAATTGGATATTCCTGATATTGCCGTTTCTTCTTTGCAGTTGATACCTGGTTACACTGAAGGCTGAGGGAATTCTGAGGGTGGCAGTTGCAAGGCCAGCAGCCTTCGCCGCTCGCAATTTTCCAGTGATTCACAGCACACTCATCACACTTCTCTCCCACCACATTAGGGAGGCAGACACAGCGTCCAGTCTCATCATCACAGGGAACATGGCTGCGACTGCCCAGGATGTTGCAGGCACAGTCTGAAAAACAAAACAGAGTCAGCTGCCTTGTCAGAACTGCTATAGGAGGAGGAAGAGGAGGAAGTATCAAAGCTATCTGACACAAAATAGTATCAGACTGAGGAGACACAATTCTGGACTATACTACTTCTGGTCATAGGCAGAAAAGAGCCAGTTTTTCAGACTGTTTTTCCCCACACTATTGTTCCATGCACTGAATTTGTGAAATTTATTGCCACACAGTAGTTATTATTGTGAATTTAGATGCTCTTTGAAAAAGGATTAGAACAGGTTCATGGAGGAATGAAATCAGTTCTTCCAAATTAGGAGTAGAGTGCCTCTAAATACTACTGTTAGGGGATAAGCAATGGGGAAGCCCTTTATTCTTATCTTCAAGCCCTTCCTAGTAGTCCCTGATTGGTCAATGAGGAAAGTAGAATGCTAGGAAGTCTGAACAAAGCAGCTAGCAATAACAAAAAATCTGGAAATCACAAATAATTAATTCAAACTAAAAGGTTCTGTTTGAAGAGGAAGGTGTGAAGCCTTTCTTACAAGCAGGTAGAGGAGAAATGGGTGTGTGTTTGTGTCTGTATTACTGCATGCAGTTTGGAGACATCTAAAATAACCAATTTTAAAAATGTATTCCTTCCTAGCAGGATGAGTGTTGGGGGGGAGGGGGATCCACACTGACTATTCCTCTATATTTGTGGAAAAATAGGTCCTCCTCAATGGGCTGCAGCTTCTCTCTTTGCCGTGGGTTGAAGTTCCTGCCATAGCAAACAACCCATGTGCCAGGAACAGAAAGGGGGAACTACTTGAATCTGTCTGTAAGAAGACAGATGGTAAAAAAGCAAGTGAGGAGGGAAAAAGAGGGAAGAGTTTTAATTCAGAGTAAAATATGAATGTAACGCAAAACTAAGATTTTAAGATCCACCTTTACAGGAGGTCTATCCCCTTGCCGATCTTGGCTGATCTCAAAAAGTTAAGTTGGGAGAGACCTACCTAGGACATGGATGGAAGACCAGCAGGAAGATTAACTAGACTGAGAAGACAAAGAGTCCACGAAAAATGCAAAGGAAAACACTTCTGTATATATAGCAACAAAATACATCTGTATATAGTCAGCGTAAAATCACAACTCCAGAGAATGCTCATCCTGCATTTAAATAATTTGGCCAAACACTGTGCTTATCAGGTTGCTACCACTGCTGGCCTTTGCTACTGTATTTCAGCATGGTAAATACCAGGACAGACCCACAACTTTCATTTCTTGAAAGAAACGGAGAGCATATGTTACCCAGAGTATCCAGTTCTTTTATGCAACAGCAGCTAGGACTGTCCCATAACTGGACATACCGGGGGAGGGGGGAGGGAAGGCACATGGAATGTACCAGCTCAGAAGAAGAGGGCACCGAGGCCTCAGCAGACAAAGCAGCCTCGTCTGCAGGAAATAAACATGGAACATTCAACCAAGGATCCCCATATCTCCAGAAACATTACCTCTTGCTTTAGCCTTCCTATAAAACATGGAGCTGAGGAGAAGGAATTGCCAGGATACCTACATCTACTTCTAGAGCTTCAATTTGAGAAAAAATCTGGTTGCTCACTGGCTGCCCTGCCGACTGAAGCTGACCATTATAAAGCACAAACACTGAAATCTCCAATCCAGGAATTATAAACTTTGGTGTCTGGAGTATCGTTCAGACTGAGGGTCTGACTGAACTCAGTATAAATTCTCTTTCTTCCTTTTCCTTAGGTGAATAAGGCAGACAGGCAGGCTTTTATGAGGAAAAAGATTGCTGGGGTTTGCTGCTGTTGTTCTGCCTGAACAAATTTAACAATTACGTACTGCCACCTCCTGGGAAGTAACTGAAGAGCAACAATATTGCTCATATATGGCTACTGGTTGGGACTTCACTGAAATTCAAATCAAAACAACACAACATTTGCATGGGAGACTGATGGTGATGATGAATGAGAGTTGTTCTAAAATTTCCATGTAAGAAGTGAGATTAGTTTTGCAAGCTGATGCTCATCTTAAATCACATACCCAAGTTCTCACTACTGAGAGCTGGCAAATAAACGTTAGGATCTGCAAATATGAATGCAAGTAGAATTGTCAAGGCAATTTTGAAATTTTAAAAGACAAAACCACTTTGAGCCTGGATTTAATGCCTACCGGAAACCTAGAGTGGTGAAGCTATGCCCTGATTCACGTATTTCATCATGATTTGTTTATTAAATAAGTCACAATTGTCTGAGTTTACATAACACAGTAAGCTATAAACCATGATTTACAAACAAGGAACTCACAATGGCCACCTTTGCACAACACAGCTGCACAAGACATCTCCTCTTCTGCCTACTTATCTCAACTCCATGCACTGGCAGGGCTCTGCTGGGGATGCTGATCCATCTTCCTCCAGAGGCCTTATTTACAATCCTCCCAGCCACTACAAAGGTGGCTGGAAGGCTGGCTCCACTTCTCCTGCTTCTATTTTTTTTTTTTTTTTTGCTTGCTTGCTTGCTTTTCTCAAGCAAAAACCCAAAAAATCTGCTGTGATGCAGTTGGGATCAGCACCACCACAGACAGATTTGGGGAGCTGTTAACCAATATCAACTGTCTGTGCCTTTCCCCCCCTTCTCCCAACCCCACTGAGCATGTTGTATGAGCATACAATATTGCTTAGTGTGAAGTTTCAATTTAATCACTGGGCCTGGCTGCATGAAAAATGGGTCAT